TGTGTGTGCACTTTGGATGGGATAAATGCGGAGCACTAATTCCGAGTATGGGTCACCATACTTGGCCACATGTCACTTCACTTTCAATTAAAATGTTACACAATATTTATATTTCAAATAAATTGTTCTTTTGAAAAGATAAAAAAATCATGGTTTCCACAAAAATATTAAGCAGCTCAACTGTTTTCAACACTGATAATAATAAAAACTGAATCTTGAGCAGCATTTTAAATGATTTCTGAAGGATTATGTGACACTGAAGACTGGAGAAATGACTTTGCATAACAGAAATAAATGACATTTTAAAATATATTCAAATAGAAAAAAAAGTTATTTTAAATTGTAATATTATTTTACAATCTTTTTCACCGTATTTTTGATTAAATAAATGCAGCCCTACAAACCAACCCCAAATATTTGAACAGTAGTGTATGTATTCTGTTATACGCATATTGTATGTTGCAATGTGTGTAGAAGCTTTTAACAAAATTAATAAGTGCTTTAAAATAGCATGGTTTATTTCTTTCTTTTGTACAGTTGTTTCAATGGGTTCTATTTATCAACTAATCAGGTATACTGTAACGTCTCTCAGGATGTTGTCCTACAGGATCTGGCAGGATGTTATACCATCGCAGTTAGTGTGAATACATGAGAACCACTACTTGTAAAAAGTAGAAAGTACCCTTCAGGATTTGCATGCTGTATCTTCTGAAGCAGAACTTGCCCATAGCGCAGCCCTAAAAAAGACATGTCATTTAGATGCATTCACCCACTCTTCAGTCAAGACTGTTGTATCTCACTATAGCTATATGTGAAGTGTCTTGTTGGACAGATATACGCAAGATCCAGTTTAAATCTCCTGTATAAATCCAGCAGTGAGGTTCTGTCAGTTTTGTAGTTGGTTCCAGGCACTTCTGTGCAGGTTTTAACTCTGAGCTCCAAGTCTGAGGGTCTCAAACCAGCTCTGGGTTCTCAGGTTGACAGCACCTTTTTCTGCAGTGGCTTTGATCCATCGTTCTTCATGCGTGCCACCATTCAAATGAGCTAAAATGAGTACATACAATCTAATGAATGCATAGAATATGTTAGATCATAACTGTGGTTTAAATAGTCAAATTTTCATGTTTGTGTTTTAGGATAAGATGTAGACTTGCAGCTGAAAAAAGTACATTTCAGGCAGTTAAAAGACGTCCAGTGGGTCTGGCTTCTACTCACCCGTAACTGTTGTCTTCCCATCAGCTGAAGTACGTTCAGTCTCTTGACATGAGCTAACTATCTCTGAGCTAATGCTAACAGAGGTTCCGCACAAGTGCACTGCTGCTTTCATAGTGGACGGCACACGCACACTCACAGCACCTGAATCAATGAAAAATAAAAGTGTTAGAAAACTAGTTTAAAAACAAGGGTCAAACTGTTAGAAATGTACTCTGTACTCATTGGTTACATATGCTTCTGAAAAACCATTATAACATTTTTAATGGCTATAAACAAATGTAATGTGAGGTAATCATTAAGTATAAAAAAAAAAATGTGTGAACACCTAATGATTCATTTCAAAAAGTGTTAAAATACTTTATATTTTTTATTATTATTTTTAATAATAGAATTATATAATTTATTCATAATGTAAAATGTACAAATAATTACCTCATTAATATCATTGACCCTGTCACACTGCAAAACGGGTAAAGCAGTAGCAGCTGTAAGCCTCCAAAATTTTAGTTGTAATCTTTTGTGCTACAGTGGTTACTGTTCTCTAATTTTGATCACCGTGTTTTCAACAAGGTTTTTGTTGAAATGCCTTGGTAATTTTATCAAACATGTAAGTGGAACAGTGGTAT